CACCGGCATGCGGGTACCACCCCCGCTGCGCTGGGTGTACTGCAGAACTCCAAAATCCCACACCTCCGAAACCCCACACCTCCAAAACCCCACACCTCCAAAACCGCACACCTCCAAAACCCCACACCTCCAAAACCCCACAACTCCAAAACCCCAGGCTTCAGAAATCCCAGGCTTCCAAAGCACCATGAGGTATCATGGAACCCAGAGCCCCAGAAGAAGCCACTGACCTCCAAAATAAGTCCCAGGAGAAGTCATGATGGAGCCCAAAGCCCCAAAAGAAGTCACAGACCTCCAAATCCCTCAAGCCCACATGAAATAGATATCCCTGTCTGTATGTGCGCACATATGTATACATACAGACATACAGACATATATATATATACATATATATATGTATGTGTATATACATATGGAGTGTAAGGGCAATCCCAAACCCACTGGATCTTTTTCCTGAATCTGGATGCTTTTTATTTTCATCCTCTTTCAGGGAGCACAAAGCAGCGCTGACAGCTCGTCTGACAGCCACACCTTCCTCCAGACACCCGTGGTCCCCAAATCTTCGGATGGAAAATGTTCTCTTCCTCCGCTGTGGGGGCAATGCCCAGTCCTCATCCCAGCAGGAATACCCGGCTGTGTTCTGCTGGTGTGGTTTTCCCAACGGGGCTCTCCTGATGGCAGACAGCTCTGGAACTGGGTGTGGAGGCATCACAGAGCTCCCACACCATCTCCTCATGGGGACAGTGCCCCATCCCACCTCACACTTCCAAAAAAGCCCACACACTGCAGATATTTGTGATTTTTTAAAAATTTTTCTTTTGCAGAGCTCTCCACCTCTTCTTGTTATGGTTTCCCTGAATTCCTCCTCCTTCATGTGGGAAGCTTAGCCTGCCCCAAGGCATGCATTGAGGGGGACAGCACTGTGCTCCCACACCCCAAGCAGTGGGTGCTTCACCCCAGGCTGATCTGTCTTTTTAACCCCCTGTATTTTTAACTTCCACGACTCTTTGGGCAGGAAGAACTATGCTGAGCAGAAATTATCCATTTTCAACAACCAGAGAGAAGCACTGAACTAAACCAGTGGGGATGTAGTGGTGGGTGCTTCAGCAGTGCTGTCTCCCTCCAGCAGCAACGGGCTCAGGATCAGGAGAAATCAGGAAAAATCAGGAAAAAAAAAAGCCACAAGCAAAAAAACAAATGGGGAAAATTGGGAAAGGACAACCAGGAACAAATAAGGAAAAATGAGCAGCAATGTTTTGTAGGATATGGCCCTCCTTTTGTGTTCCTTTTGGGGAGCACAGGGAAATCCCTCTGGATGATTTCCACAAGGCCCTTTCACTGCTCTTCTTTCACCATGGGCCACAAACTCATTATAAAAGGAGCTTTTCCATTCTGAAAAATAATTTAAAAAAAGGTTTGCATTTTTTAGAGGGCGTCTCCAACAACGTTCTTCCAAGGTTTGGAGAAGGGATGCACCCCCAGGAGCAGTGCCCCTGGAATGTCTAACAAGGTGTGAAAAGAGGAGCAAGGAAGGGGTTTGGTGGGAGGTGTGAGGAACACAGAAGGATAAATGGAACACACATAAAAAACCATCTGGGAACGCTAAATCTGGTGTCACTGACAGCATCCTCCTGCTGCTCACCGGGAATGACCAGCACAGGAGGGAGAATCTGGGAATGTGGATCCCTGCGGGTGTTCCACGCCAGGCTGGCGGGGCTTGGAGCAACCTGGCCTAGAGGAAGGTGTCCCTGCCCATGATGGGAATGGGATGATCTCCAGGGTCCCTTCCAACCCCACCATTCCCGAACGAGCACATCCTGGGATGCTCTCAGGCTCTCTCCCATTCCCGATCCCGCACATCCCGGGGTGCTCCCAGGCTCTCTCCCATTCCCGATCCCGCACATCCCGGGGTGCTCTCAGGGTCTCTCCCATTCCCGATCCCGCACATCCCGGGGCTCACTAACCCCGGGTCGGGAGGCGGGAGCGGGACTCCCGCACCACGCCCCGCCCCTCCCCATCCCGCTCACCCAATGGGAATGCGCGGAGCCGCCGGCGGACCCTGTGATTGGCTGCGGGAGCTGCATATATTATCGGCGCGGCGCGGCGGCCCCGCGGAGCGCGCGGACCCGGCGGCCGCGGGTGAGGGAGCCCGGGATGGTGGCGGCGCCGCCGGGGCCCGCCCGGCCGCCCGCACATGGCGCGGCCCGGAGGCGGCGGCGGGGCAGCGCACGGGGCCGCTGAGCCGGAGCCGATCGGAGCGGGACGCCAAGGAGAGGCGGCCGGTGCCCCGCCGGCGCTGATTTGGAGCTTGGGGTGAGTCCGCGGGGTCGCGGGGAGGAGTTGGGGACGGGGTTTGAGGCGGCGCGGGGGTCCCGCCGGTGGTGGGGTGGGGAGGGAGCGCTGCGGGCCGAGCGGCGGCCCCGCAAGGGCGGAGATCCCGGGTACCGACGGCGGCTCTCTCGGTGACCTTGGTCAAGTTGTGTCCCCGCTCCGGGCTCGCTTAGCAGCCTCCCCGGCGAGCTCGGGTGTCAGGGAAAGCACCGAGTCCTGCCCGGCGGAGCCGCCCCGCGGCGGGGCCCCGCAGGTGAGGGACGGCTGCCACCGGCACGGTGGGACCGGGAGCCGGCGGGCTACAGAGACAAACGAGCTGCCCAGGATGCTGGGACTTGCTGCCGTGTTCCGAGTGCGCTGCTCGGTGTGAAATGCCCGTGTGAGACACCCCGCGCCCGCAGGGACCGCAGGAGATGGCCCCGCAAATGTTAAAACACGCATTTCTCCGATGGGCCCCGCTCATCAGTAGCCTGTGGGGGGATCAGTTCCGTGAGGGGATCGCCCGTTCCCCGCACCGCAGGGCCCCGCTCCGCCACCCGGAGCATCGGTCGAGCAATGGGTGCGTGACCCGTCAGGAGATGTTTGTTCGCCTGCCCGGCACAGCTCCAGTACCCGAGGGCTCCCCGCTACCAGGCTCCCTTCCCTCAACACTCATCTTTCCAGTAAGAAACAAACTCGGTGTCTTTAAAGCGCTGGATCGTATCAGCTCCGGGCGCAGCGCTGCCGGTCCCTCCCCAGGGACCCGCGTGTGGCTGCCCTGGAGCGGCCGTGGCGGCTCCCGGAGCGTCCCCGCTCTGGTCCCGGGCGCTCCGAGCCCGGGCGCTCGGGGCCGGGTGGGACCCGCCGGCAGATGTCAGTGTCCCCTCTCTGTCGGCAGCTAGGAGGGTCCCTGCCAGCCCCGGAGGCCCCTGCACTTTTTCCGAAGCGGAGCTGTCTGTGGTGGCCGTGCAGAGACAGTTTGGAGAGCTGGGTGTCCAGGGGAGGTGGCCCCACTCTGACACCCCAGAGGAGAGCTCCCTCTCTATGCCCAACACTAGCCACCCACCACCTTATTTATCATGGTCTGCTAAGGTTGAGCTCCACCTGTGCATCACTGGCTGTCCGTGACACTTGTCACTCGTGTGAAGGCAAGGCAGGGAAGGGAAGCAGTGTTCCTCACCTTGCGCTGCCTCCTGCATGAGGATGGTGCTGGGCTCGCAGGATCTGTTAGGATGAAAGAGACATACTCCCTGGGGAGGAGGCTGCAGGGCTGCTCCCTTTCCCTGGCTCCTTGTGCACAGGGTTGCTCTTTTTCCCCATCCCCTCGCGTGCAGGGCTGCTCTTCCCTGGTCCCAGAGATCCATCTGCAGGGATTCTTTGGTCTGAGAGCTCAGTGCAAGGTGGGGAAGCCAGAGCTGCTGCTGCCGTCACTGTGCTGGGGGGGAAATTCTATTTTGCACATTTATTTGCTTTATTTAAGAGGCTTTTTGCCTGTAGGTGTGAAAGTCTCGGGTGTGCAAAGCCAGAGGGCAGAACACATGGCACTGGTGCGACTGTGCACGCAGCTGCCATCTCCCCTGACAGCGGCCCAGGCTTCAACTCATTTGATGTCTTATGCAAATCCTCGGCTCCCTGAGTCCTGGGATTTTCTGCTATTTTCCTTTACTCTCATCTTCGAGTGTCTCGCTCTTGAGGATGTAAAGAAAAGCTAATAAAAGGAACCCAAGTCACTGAGTCCTACAGGTTTTCTAGCGCATCTCATGAGCTGAGAGGAGGAGGAGGAGGGCAGTGGCTTGGGGTCCCTCGGCTGTAGTGACTGATGGGGCTGCAGAGGGTGACAGCAGGAGAACCCGCTCCCAGCCGCGGCTCCGAGGTGTCCGTCTGTCTGTCCCCACGCCCGGAGCCGTGTCACCGGGGCCGGCTGCCAGGTGGCTGCCAGCGCCCCGCCGTGCCCGCTTTGCCGGCGATTACGGCGCTGCTGTCGCTCCGGCGGTGCCTGCCTCGCTCTCTTAATTAGCCGGGCTGATCAGCGGGGCCCTGGAGCTTCCTTGGCAGCGTGCGGGAACCAGCCCGGCGCTGCAGCTCCTCCCGAGCCACAGCCGAGCCGGGACAGAGGAGATGTAGGCAGGGCTGGCTGTAGGGGAGACAGGCTCCACCAAGCCCCAGGTGAGCCTGGAGGCCCCAGAGCAATGGGAGCATCCTGCTAAAATTGAGCCCTTTGGGATTGTCTGTCCCGAGGTGTGCAAGAGCGAGAGGTGGCCTGGGCGCCTGCGTGCATGCACAGATAGACACGGCTCAGCTGAGTCAATCCACTTCAGACGCTAAACTGCACTTAGCCTTTGCCCAGGCTCTTTTAAGTGGCCTTAATTTGATAAAGCTTTTCCATGTTTAATGAGAAAGTGACTCAGTCACTGGGTTGATGCTCGTTCCCACTGAAAGGCGTCCCCAGGGAGCTGCAGACCCCTCCCCATCGCTCCTGCACAGATGCACCTGGGCTCCCACTGTGCCCAGGGACCATTCCCTGTGGCTGGGCACATCCCACAGCCCTGCCACCAATGGTGTTGTGTACCTGCCATGGGCACTGGGGTTTGCTGTGGCTCTGGGCTTCAGCTCAGCCTGCACAGAGGTGGTTCCAGGGTCCATCTGGAACCTTCCTGTGCTTCCCAACGGCACCTGGCAAATTCCACTGCCCCTTCCCCAGTGCATGCTTCGCAGTTGCTGTATCTCCAGATCTGCTCCTGCAGCATGAAAGGGCACAAATCAATGTTAATGTCCCTAACAATTAGCTAACATCTTAATTATCGAGCTCAGCCTGATGAGTGATGGAGCACGTGGCTCTGGAGATGCCGTGGGCATGGAGGGGAGCGGGACCTCGGCATAACTCCGATGTTGTGCTGAGGGTGTTGCTGCTGTCACTGTCAGCTCCAAGGGCAGCAGAGGGAGGCTTTTGCAGCTCACCTGAACACCCCCATCCTTCCTTCAGCCTCTCAAGCCATTTTGGATGAGGACACCACTGCAGAAGTGACCCCACTGCCATCCCCAGGGTGGGGAGTGACTCTAGAAATTGCCACGAGCTCTTTTTAAGATGTAGCTCATGACAAGTGACAGTGTGGGCCATGCATCAGCCATCACTGGGGTGTTCTGCTGCAGGCAATGGGGACAGACTGCACTTCAAGAAGCTCAGGAAGACTTGGCCCTGAAAGAGGTTGTGATTCTAGGAAAATTTGCCAATAATATTTACTTTGGTACTCTTCTTCCTTGCTTCAGGGTTTTTATAGAAAAGGGAAGAGGAGAAAAAAAATAACAAGCTGGAAGTTTTCCAACTTTTGTGATGCAAAACCCTAAATCAAAAGGAAGAAGAAAAAAAAGAGTTGTCAGATGCTTCTCATCAAATCTTCATTTTTTTGGATCAAGGAAAAGTGATTAGAAAGTTATTTCCAGCTCTAGTAGTAAGGTCAAGGGGTTTACTTGTTTCTAAAGAGCTTTACTCTCCCCAGCATCCCAGGAGGATCCTGGTGTGAGCATGTGCAGGTGCACCCTGAAAAGCATTGCCCCAACCCCAGAGAGCTGCAGTGCAGCCCCCCTTCCCCTCAAACCAGAGCCAGCTCCCCCCAGCTGTAGGCACTGAGGACTGTGCACAGCTATGGCAATATCGGCACATATTTATTTTCTATCACTCCTGATCGATAGGAGGAAATAAATTACCCCAGTGACAGTGGTGCAGGAGAGCTGCTCCCTGGGGATGAGCTGCTGCAGAGCCAGTGCAGCCCCCTCACAGGCCCTCCTTGCCCGTTCTGCCTGGCTTGGGACTCCAGCTCGTGTTGGCAAGGATGCTGCTGTGCGTCATCACCGTCCCCAGGCAGGAGCCTCCCTCGGAGGTGCCGCCACGCGCCGTGTGAATAGGAGGGAAGTGTGAATAAAAGCTCACTCAGCAAGGCTGGAAACTCTGCTCCATACCAGGAGGGATTCTTCACTGGTTTTGTACCAGTTTGCCCCGGCTGAGTGCTGGAAATATCAAATCCTATTTTTATTGCTCTGTAGTAAAACATGAAGTAGCCACAGGGAAACATGGCATGCTCAGCCTGGAATCTCAGAATGGGCTCCCCAGGGAAGGTGTCAGAGCAGGCTGAGGTGGTGCAGAGCTGGTCTAGGGACCACAGCCTGAGGGAAAAGGTGGCCCACAGTGGGTCTACCCATAATATCCATCCCCAGGATGGTGAGCCAGATGTTTGCTGCCTTAGCTGTGGTGCTTTGGTGGGAGAGGGCATTTGGAGGGGAAGGACAGCATGGAAAATTCCTCTTGGTGAAGGGATGTGGAGATGCCCCCCCAGGGTGGTAATGGCAAGGGGCTGGTTAGTGCTGGTGGGAAGCATTTAACATCTAGGATGGTTTGTTGGAAAAGACAGTGCTCTGCCTGGTGTGTCCCACCCCAAAAAAATCCCCTCTGTGCTTTGAATCAAAGGGAGAATATTCCTGTGTCCTCCTGATTTACACCAGGAAAGCCTCAGGGAGGGCGGTGAAGTGACTGGTGCAAAACCAGTCTGTGGTGGTGTGAAGTGGTGATGGATGAGGCCAGTGTCCCATGGCACTGGAAAAACATCTCCTTTAACCATTTAAAATCCCCTTTAACATCCCCTGTGAGACTCTGGCTGTGTGGAGGGAGGGGGGGAAGGGACACAGCCAGGGAGCAGCCCCAGCTGGAGTTGGGTCAGGAGCCCCTTAAAACCCATGGATGATGATGGGAGACCAGGAGCCAGGGTGTGCCAAGCCTGTTTGTGAGGCAACAGGCAGAGTCCCAGTGCACCAGATATTTAAACAAGGTGTTTTGCTGTCACAGCCATATTTAATGCTACAAGCAGTGTGTTTCCATGGGCAGAGTTTAGAAAGATGCTGTTCGAGGAGGCTTTACCCTCCCTCAGCTTCTCAGCTGAGATCCACAGTGTTGCTTTCCTCCTTGCTATATGGGAAAGGGATCAAATCACTGAGGGTTTAGCCTATGGTCAGTATCTAAACCATCCATGAGGTTTAGTGCCAGACCCTGGCTCCCGCCATTCTCTCCTGGACACAGCAGCAGGACCTGGCTGCAGGCAGCATGGACCTGGGGGGGTTGGGTTAATCTTGGGCTTTGAGGATCCCTTTGGTCCCCAGGCCACATCAATTGTTAATTGTACTAGCACATATTCCTGGGGAGGGGAGCAAGCTGCAGGTCTGCTTCAGGCAGGCTCTGCATCCCTTCTGCCTGCTTGCCCTCAGCCCAGCTTTAGCAGGGAGGATTAGGGGCAGCCAAATGCCTTGGGTGCTCAGCCACCACCCACACGTGGCAGCTCCATGAGCCTCTGGCATCGGGTCCTGCCACGTTTTGGGGGTGGGGGATGCCCCCTCCTTGAGGCACAGAGTGAGGAAACCAGCTGGCACTGCCTGTCCCCCAGCCCAGCATGGGACAGGGTTGGGATTTGGGCACATCCTGCCCCACGTGCCAGGGGCAGGAGGCAGTGACTGGGCTGTCATGTGGCTGCCTGCCAGGCTGGGAAAAACAAGGGTGACACGTGAAAAACGAGTGTGGGGGAACAGAAGCCCTGCCTGCTGCTCCTGCCCACCCCACTGCCCTGGCACCGCAGCCTGGTGATGTGAAAGTCTCAGCTTTTGTTTAAAATTCACAGGGCCCCAGCCTCGAGGGCTGAGCGAGAAGCTGAGAAAGTGTAATCAAAGGGCACCCTTAAGGGTTTAAAAATAGAAGAGAGGGAGAAAAAAATTGAAAAAAACATATTATTACATGTTCAAGCATGATGATTCATCCAGCAAAGCCCTGTTTGGGAGAAGGCAGGGTTGGTGTGAGCTCAGCAGGGATGGGCATTTGGGCTCCAGCCGCCTTCCTGGAACAAAAACTACCTTCCCTGGCAGGACTGCAGCAAGGGGGTCCCTGTTCTGGGCAAACAGCTGCTGGTGCCTCACAGCACACCTGGCCTTGGCCAGACCTTGCAGATCCCCATCTCCACCTTTGCTGGCAAATTCAGGCTCTGTCCTTGTGGCTGCTGCTGCCAGAAAAGCTCCATCTTTACTTTGCACTCAGAACACTACTTCTATCAGCCTAGGCAGCCTTGGAGTGGCCATCCATCCATCCATCCATCCATCCAGACGCTAGCAGGACACAAAGACAAGTCTAACGTCAACCAGACATGATCCAGTCCATACCTGGAGAAGCTGATTTTCCCAGTTCCCCATGATTATCATTTTTAGCCCCACCTGAAATGAGCTGCATGCTCATGACATTTGTTCCCACAATGCAGGGTGCAGGGCAGCTCACAGCAGTGAGCTGTGTCATATAATAATAATAATAATAATAAATAAATAATATGCCAGGCTGATGTCCAGCAGAGAAAAACATAAAGAAAAATCCAGAAATTCCTCAAACAGCCATCAGCCAGGATTTCATTTAACTCCAGCACCCCCAGCCCCACAAACTCTTATTTCTTGTGGCATGACCGGGCTCTCCCTGGAGCGCAGCTTTCCCTCTGTCAGCAGCATCCCAGCCAGCATTCCAGAGCTTGCTCCCGGTTTCCATCCGCTCCTCACGGGTTTCCCCGCTTGTCCTTGCAGGGCGGGGCTGTCCCGGAGCGTTGCCGCGGGGTGAGAGAATGAAGAAGCCGGCCGGGCAGCAGCAGGATGGGGCGGCAGGACCTGCCCCGTGCTGACGGGCCCCCGCCCATGCTGCCCTGGCCGCTGGCCCTGCTGGCCCTGAGCGCCTGCTGCCGCTGCAGCGCCGTGCCCCAGGGCCATGCAGCCCCCGCCACGCCCTCCTCTTCCTCCTCATCCTCCTCTCCCTCGGCCCGGCCGCCTCTCGACTGGCTCCTCACCGACCGGGGACCCTTCTACCGAGCCCAGGAGTACGTGGACTTCATGGAGCGCTACCGGCAGGGGTTCACCACCAGGTACAGGATCTACAGGTGAGAGGCTGTGACAGGCTGGGGGGATGTGGGGGCACGGCAGAGTGGAGGCAGACCCTCTCTAATCCACATGAGCAGACCCCCATGTGTGGGAGGAGGTTGCCCATTGGGTGGGTGTGAGATGCTGCTTTTCCAGGAATGCTCTTGGTGAGGCCAGGCTGGGCTCCAGGCTGTCAGGGTCTCTAGCTGGTCAGAGTGACCCCGAGAGAAGTTACAAAGTCTCTTTTCCCAGCCCAGTGCTTGAAGAAGGAGTCAGAGCTCTTAATTTCTCCGTCTCAAGGTTGTTTATTGTTTCTTAGCTATAAAATTCTTTCTCCTGTCCAGCCAAGGTCCGCTCAGCAGGACAGCTCCAGGCACTCTGCCTGCCCCCAGGGTGGTGGTATGTCTTTATTCTAAAAACTACATGTACAATGTTTACAATTCCTTCCCAATACCTATCACCTATGTTAGACAGTGAGCTTCTAGTCTAAACCAATCTAAAAGTGCAAACATCACACCAAAAGATGGAGGCCAAGAAGAAGAAGAAGGAGAAAGTCTGGACATGCCCAGATTCCTCCATTTTGCCCCCTGAACCCCCATTCTAAAAACCCCAAAAACCTATTTTTCACCTTGTGATAAATTCACTGTCATTCTTCTTAAATTGTCATGGTTTGCAGATCTTCATCTAAGGTTGGTAACTTGCTCCATGGGTCATAATCAAAACCACAGGGGCATTTTGGGCTCTGTGCCAGGGTCTCTGAGCCCCCTGGCAGGGGTCTTGGCTGCTCAGGACAGCCAGAGGGATGCCCTGGCTCCTGACACCAGGCAGGATTTGCCCTTAAATGGGAGGGATTTGGTGCCCAGGTTGAGATGGGATCAGCCCTTGTGGCAGGAGGCACAGAGCCCGCTGGGCTGGATGGGTCTCGTGTGCTCCAGTCCCTTTGGACATCCTCCACGTATGCTCTCCTGCCCCGAGATGGAGGCTGGGGACAGCAGAAGAGACAGTGTGCATGTGGTGTCCACCTTCCAGGCCCTTTGCACAAAGATGCTCTTTTGTCCTTTTTCTGTGCACAAAGATGTCTCTGTGCCAAATTGCTGAACCTGCCTAGACAGGCAGTTCTCTGGGGCTGGGATGCTGCTCAAGAAAAGCCACTGACTGACCCCCTGGCATGTCCCCAGTGCCATCAGCCCTTGGACTGCTACGCGATGCTGTATACATGGGGGCCAAGGCTGGAGGGGGTTTCTTGCCAGCAGAGAACCAGGTTTGGCAGCAGTGGGGTCCACTCACCACAGCCAAGGCCACCCTGTGACAGCCTCTGTGGGAAACCCACTCCACTCCACCACCTCCTGGGCCTAACTGGGGCTGTCACCTCTGCCTAATGAGCCCTTTCCCTTCCATTCCCCACCAGTGCTGAGCCCTGGGGGCTTCCAGCAGCAAAGCAAAGCCTGACCAGGGCCTCTTGGGGATGCTGACGTGGGTGCTGGGATTGCAGCCTTGTTTTGCAGCCCTGCACCCCCAGGGAGCTCCTCTCCCCTTTCCTGTGTGCTGATGCTGCCATGCCGAGGGAGCTGCATCCTCCGGGGATGCTGCTGGTGACGGTGGTGGGACAGGAAGGAGCAGCCAGAGGGACAGAGCTGGCTCACACCTCCCCAGAGGCAGATAACCTGCCATCAGCCTTCGGGGCTTGTTTGCCTCCGGGATGGAAGGGGGGAAATTGGCACCCCAGCCCCGAGGGAGTGTGTGTGCAAGGGGAGAGGCAGCACCCCCCTGCCTCATCCTCAGCCCTGCTACAGGCCCCTGCATCCCATCTTCTGGGCCCAAAGTCATGGTGGGAGGCAACCTGTCATCTGCCAAGCCCAGCAGCTGCTGCTTTGCACCCATCCACTGCTCCCTCCTTCTCCCTCCCTCTCCCTGTTTTCCCAGCCAGCCCTGTCTGAGAGGCACAGCCTGGTTTTAATTAGAGCCAAATGCCAAAGATTAAGCTGAAATTTGCTGCTGGTTGTTTATGAGGGGTTTTAGAGGCAGTGACAGGCTGGGTGGCACATTGACAGCATCTGGGGCTCTGAGAGGACCCACCACATCCCAACACCTCCAGCTTCCCACAAAACGCTGCTGATGTTGAAAACCATGACACCCCCAGATGCTGGATTTTCCCTTGGATCTGTAGGCTGGAGGAGGGATGAGCTGCAGCCAGCCCAAAGGGCTGGAAGAGGCTCTAGCCCTGCCCTGGGCTGTGATTAATGCCTTCCGGAGGTGCTGGGTTAATCAATAGCCAGCATCTCCGCTGCTTGTAGCTCTTTATCACCATCGATGGCTTAGGGAGGGACGGTGCTTTTGTCCTGCCTGGATCCATAGCTGGCAGCAGGTCCTTCATTTCCAGTGGGGAGGTCGGGATTATTCTTTCCAGAGTTTTCCACCTGTCCTGAATGGAAATCAGGGGCATAAGGAAGGAGAGCATGCATGTGCCATGGCCAGACCCCCTTCACACCCTCTCCCCGCTGCTGCTCTCGTCCCACAGAGAGTTTGCCCGTTGGAAGGTGAATAATCTGGCCTTGGAGAGGAAAGATTTCTTCAGCCTCCCACTTCCCCTGGCCCCCGAATTCATCCGCAACATCCGGCTGCTGGGGCGGCGGCCCAGCGCGCAGCAGATCACCGACAGCCTCATCAAGAAGTATGGGACACACTTCCTGCTGGCTGCCACGCTGGGAGGTGAGCGCTGGGCTGCTCAGCCCCTCGCACAGCGAGGGAGGGTGGGAAAAGCAGCACTGCATGGCCAGGAACGGGAATGGGGGCAGCCCACAGCCTTTCTCGGGTATCACATCTCCCCCCAGGAGAGGAGTCCCTGACCATTTTCGTGGACAAGCGCAAGCTTAGCCGGAGGGCAGAGCCCGCGGCTGGGGCTGGGAACAGCTCGGGGGTGTCGCTGGAGACCCTGCACCAGCTGGCAGCCTCCTACTTCATCGACAGGGACAGCACCCTGCGCCGGCTGCACCACATCCAGATCGCCACGGCTGCCATCAAGGTACGAGAGGGGCGAGGAGGGGCCAGCGCCGGGACTGCCCGGGGCCCCTCCAGCTGGCCCGACCTGAAACAGCATCTCCCAGAGAGCAGAGAGCCGGGAAAGTTAACACCTTCCATTATTTATGGGAAATTGGGCACGCTAATAAAGGCACATTTTTCAGCGGGCTGCCGCCTGTCAACAAGCTAATTAGCAGATAATTAGTTCTCCTCTCTGACCATCGCCCTGCTACGAGGAGGGGGGCTTGGCCAGCGGGTCAGGGATTGTCTGCATCACTCTCACCGGGGTAGGGCACCCTGTGTCCCCTCCTGTGTACCCTGACCGCTTCGTGTCCCCACCTTAGGTGACAGAAACACGGACAGGGCCACTGGGCTGCAGCAACTATGACAACCTGGACTCGGTGAGCTCTGTCCTGGTGCAGAGCCCTGAGAACAAAGTGCAGCTCCAAGGTAGGACCGGGCTCGTGGGGATGTGGGGGTGGACAATTGCTGCCATGGGATGCTTGTGGGTGCACGGGGGGATGCAGGGGAGGATGCTGGCACGAGATGCTGCTTCTAATTTCAGGGCTGGGGAGGAGAGGGGAGGAAAATAATGAAAGCTGGGCAGGATGAGGTTGTTGCTTGTCTGCCAAGAGGAGCCAAGATCGATGCAGAGCCCAGACAAGCGGCTCCACAGCAAATTGATATGATAATCATGCGAGGGTGGGAGCCCGGCGAGGGGGAAGAGACTGGTGCCCTCCTCGCCCAGGTGGTGTTTGAGGGGCTCCGTGCGTGCCCTGATGCCCTCGGGGCTGCTCCCTCCGCAGGGCTGCAGACGGTGCT